GTGTGTGTGTTGGGGGCGGGGTGGGGTGTGGGGAGATGTGTGGTTGCCAGGGCGTGTGTGTGTTGGGGGCGGGGTGGTGTGTGTGGAGATGTGTGGTTGCCAGGGCGTGTGTGTGTGTGGTGGGGGCGGGGACACGGGGCTCGCCGTTGGGGTGTGCGCGCGGGGGTGGGTGTGTGTGCGAGGGTGGGGGTGGGGTTACTAATTCTGGGGTGCTGGTGTATGTCGGGGTGGGGTTGCTGGTGATGTCGAGGAAAGGGGGAAGGGTGCAGTGTTTTGGTGAGCAGGTTGGGGGTTGGGAGTCTGGACAGGGGACAGTCCAGGTCAATCGCTCTTTGTTCTCAGTTACAGGCGATGGCGGAAGCTGAAGAGGGCGTCCCAGATGAGGACGGCTGGGTGAAGGTGACCCGCAGGGGCCGACGTCCCGGGATCCCACGGACTGAGGCAGGAAACCTACGGCTGATCCAACGGGAGAGACAGAAACGGGCTCAGAGAGAGCTGCTCAACTTCTACAGCTGGCAGCACCGAGAGGCCAAACGGGAACGTGAGTCAGTCTGGGGGGTGTCAGAGGGCCACATGGGAGACAGGGCTCACAGTGACATTGGGAGGAACTGCACAGGCCGGAGACAGGATGAGGGGCTAATGGGGTAGGGTGGGGTGAGGATTATCAGGAGCAGGGTGAAGGAGTAATGGGGCAGTCGGGTGTTGGGCATGGGGTGTGGAGTATTAGGGAGTGCAGTGGAGTGTTTGAAGCATGTGACAGTCTCCTAAGAATGAGGCCTGGCTGGAGGTGGGGTGGGTATGGAGCTTGTCGATCTAGCCTGGGGTCTGGAACACTGTCCTCATTGTGCCATTTGGGGTCTCTTTCCAGATATCGCTCAGCTTCGGAGGAAATTTGAGGAGGATAAACAGAAGATTGCTCTAATGAGAGCCCAGCGCAAATTCAAACCCTATTGATGGTCTCACAGCTTTTCTGAGCTTGACATTGTTGTGGGGACAGCTGTTGGTCATTGAGGGGATGGGGAGGGGCTCGTTGGCTGTGTTTCTGAAAGTGGAACCTCTGAGTCTGTTCTCAACTGCAATAAACTTCAGTATTTCAGAGATGGAACTCAGTGGTTGCCATCTGTCAGGCCAGTCAACTGTGGAGGGGTCGGGGGTGACGGATTGGGGTTTAATACACGGTGAATTCTACAGTCAGCCACCAGCCTTGTATATTCTCTTTCTCATTTGTACTGCTGACAAGCAATCTGTTCCACATCCTCTGGATACCTTCTCCTCTGTCCATCTTCTATCCGCCTCCCCCTCTCTCCCTATTTATTTCAGATCCCCCTCCCCCTCCCCCTCCCCCTCCCCCTTTTCTGAAGAAGGGTCTAGGCCCAAAACATCAGCCTTCTGGCTCCTCTGATGCTGCTTGGCCTGCTGTGTTCATCCAGCTTTACACCGTGTTATCTCAGATTCTCCAGCATCTGCAGTTCCTACTATCTCAGCAGCGATCAGAATGGTTTTGGATCAATTTCAATTCACTTGATTTGAGTGGGAGTTTTCCCTCTGTGAGAGTTACCTGCTGATCAAAATGTTTCCTCTTCACATTGTGTGTTCTGAATGTTTCAGTGTTTTGTTCCAATAAGATATGGTTTAGAGTCCCTAAGATTTTTATAAATAAATCCAGTCATTTCTTAAATTTTGTCCTGTTCTGGTCATTTCAATACAGAGCTGATTGTGGGTCCGTTAAAGGCAGAATTAGTAAAATTTATCATGGGAAATAGAGAAATGGCAGTGAAGCAAAACCATTACTTTGTGTCTGTTTTCACTGAGCAAGGTCTAAAAACTCTGCAAGAATTGGAGATCCACGTGGCCAGGGAGAATGAGGAGATTATGGAAATTATATTAGTGAGAAGATAGTGCTGGAGAAATTAATGGGGTTGAAAACTGGTATGAGTGCCAGATCTGATGGCCTTTACCCCAGAGTGTTGAAGGAGGTGGCTATAGAGAAGATAGAGGATGCATTGGTGACTGTCTTCCAAAGTTTTACAGATTCTGGAGTAATTCCTAAAGATTGGAAGGGAACACATCACCCCTTTAGTTAAGAAAGGAGTGAAACAGAAAACGAATTCAACTCATCAACCTTTCATCGGTACAAGAGAAAATATTAGAATCTATTATTAAGGTGGTGATAAATAGGCACTGGGATAAAAATAATCTGAGCATAGCTGGCATAGATTTGTGAATTGGAATCATGTTTGACAAAATTGGGAGTTTTTTGAGAATGTAACTAACAAAATTGATAAAGGCAAGCCAGTAGATATGTTTGGACGTGAAGAAGTTGGGAAGTAACATGAAATAACATGGGATTGGAGGCAATGTACTGGTATGGATTAATAATTGACAGAAAACAGAGTAGGAACAACTGGGTCGTTCTGTTGGCAAAATGAGACTAATGTGGGGTACTACTAAGATCAATATTTGGTCCCAGCTGTTCGCAACATTTAGGGTGGCTCAGTGGTTAGCACTGCTGCCTTACAGTGCCATGGACCTGGGTTCAATTCCAGCCTTGAGTGACTGTCTGTGTGGAGTTTGCACATTCTCCCTGTGTCTGCCTTGGGTTTCCGTTGGATGCTTCGGTTTCCTCCCACAGTCCAAAGATGTGCAGGGTAGGTGGATTGGCCATGGGAAATTGCCCATAGTGTCCAGGGATGCGCAGGCTAGGTGAGTTAACTATGGTAAATGTGGGGTTACAGGGATAATGTGGGATGCTCTTCAGAGGGACTTGATGGGCTGAATGGCCATTATCTGCACTGTATGAATTCTATGAATGGAGATTCTATGAATATATCAATGATTTGGAGGTGGAACAAAATAACATTTTCTGTTCTGAAGAAATTATATTGGACTCAAAAACATTTTTTTCTCCACACACACATGGCGCCATACCTGCTGAGTTTCTCCAGCACTTTGTTTTTATTTTATATATTTCCAAATTTGCAGATGTTACAAAACTAAATGGGAGCATACATTGTTAGGAAGATGTAAAATGGTTCCAGGTAAATTTGAACAGGCTTGGTAAGTTGGCTAGAATATGTCAGATGGAATATAGTAGGAGAAAAAGTGAAGTTATCTAGTTTGTTAGAGAAACCCTGTGTGGGCTGCATGCAGGTAGTGCCACATGAGTCCAACAGAGGGCCTCAATCTTACACAGTTGTGGCAAAGGACTTGAAACATTAAATGCTAAGAGGTTGGAAAGTGCAGATGTATAAAGGGACTTGGGTGTCCTTGTCAATAAGTCACTAAATGCTAAGATGCAGGTGCAGCAAGCTGTTAGGAAGGCAAGGGAATGTTAGGCTTTATTACCAGAGGATTTGTGTACATGAGTGCTGAAGTTATGCCTTAATTATATAAGAACTCTGTTGGACTGCACCAGGAACATTGTGTGCAGTTTTAGTTTCCTTATCTCAGGAATGATATTATTTGTGTACAGAGAGCGCGACTGTCCAATGAAGAGTGACGGCAAACTAAACCTGGTATTCTCTAGAATTTCAAAGAATGAGAGTGATTTCATTGAAACTTACAAAATATTTAAAAGGAAAGACTGGAAGATGCATGTCAGAGGTTCTCCTGGTTGGGGAGTCTAGTACTGGGGGTGTTGGGGGGCCTATTTAAAAATAAAGGGGATGCCACTTATGGCTGTGATAAGGAAAAGAAATCATATTCGGGAGTGTGAGACTTTGGAATCCTCTACCAAAGAGGGCTTTGGAAACTCAGATTTAATTATGTTATGTTTGAGTTTGATCACCCGTGGTGTACAGGGTTATGGAGATGAGGTGGGTAAAAAACATGAAATGTTTGATCAACCATGGTGTTAAATGGCAAAGCAGGCTTGATGACTGAATGGTCTTCTCCTGTTCCTATTTGCCTGTGGGGTGGGGCATAGTGTAGGCAGTTGAGGGGTGACCTTATAGAGTTTTATAAAACAGGAGGAGCTGAGATAAGGTGAAGACCAAGGGTCTTTTCCCTAGGGTGGAGTAGTTCAAAACTAGGGCCAATATTTCAAGGTCAGGAGAAAGATTTAAACAGGAGTGAGGGGCAATGTTTTTACACAGAGAGCAGTTCATGTATGGAATTAACTGCCAGAGGAAGTGGTGGATGCAGGTATAGTTACAACTATTTAGAAGATATTTGGATAAGTACATGAATAAGAAAGGTTTGGAGGGATATGGGTCAAGTGCAGGCAGGTGGGACTAGTTTGGTGTGGGAACATGGTCACCTGGACTGAAGGATCTGTTTCCATGTTGTATAACTCCATGAGTCTATAATAAATGCTCGCCCAGACAGTAACCCTCCTTGCAACAAACACCAATGCTCCATCTGGGATCTTATTTGCAGACATTTGTTCTGTGAATCATGTACCTTCTAGAAATCCAAATGCATCAAACCTACTGGGTCCTTTTCATCCACCTTGCTTATTATTATTCAGTAATGAACTCTCATTACAATTTTGTCAAATGTAATTTCTCTTAATTAAACCATGGTGATTCTGCTTAATTTTGAGTTTTAAAATATCCTGCTATATCCTCCTCAAAAATAAATTCCAGTATTTTCCTGACGACAGACATGAGTATAATTGATCTATAGATTTATGTAATTCTCCTTTTGAATGGCAAACTTAGATTTATGATTTTCAATGTGCTGGGAGACTCATGGAAGATTAGAATGAATGTCAGAATGGAGACTGGCCTACTGGCTGAGTCGTATTCGGCTCTGTGGGACTTGATTGGCTAGGACTTGCTGGAGGTGTATGACAAGTACCATGTGCGAATCCATGAGGAAAGGCATCATCATCCTCATGTACAAGCGGAAGGGGGAGAGGGAGGAAATTAGAAATCACTGCTGAATGTAGATTACAAAATCCTGTCTAAGGTCAGGTCTGCTCTGGGATCGGTGATCCACCCTGACCAAACCTTTGGCAGGATATCACACACCTACATGTGGACGTTCTGTCCAAAACGGGCTTTGGCGAGGGAATCTGCAATTGGATCTGACTGCTCTACACCAACATCGTTAGCGCAGTCTCAATCGGGTGGGAATCAGAAAGATTCCCGATCAGATCTGGAGTCAGGCAGGGCTGCCCACTCTCTCCTGCTGTGTTTGTGTGTTGTATAGAGCCCATTGCTGAATCCATCAGAAAGGATGTGAGCCAGAGAGGGGGTGACTATTCCAAGCAGTGGGAGCCCATAGGTCAAAGCCTTTTCATGGGGTATGTGAAACATTCCTTGTTCCAGTCCTATTCCACCCCCCCACCCACAACTCTTTCTCTGATACATCGATGATATCGTCAGTGCTGCTTCCCTCTCTCATCTGGAATTGGAAAACTTCATCAATTTCGCCTCCAGTTTCCATCCTGCCCTCACTTTCAGATGGTCTATCTCTGAATCCTCCCTTCCCTTCGTCGACATTTCTGTTTCCATTTCTGGGAATAGACTGGCCACTAATATCCACTACAAACCCACTGACTCCCACAGCTACGTGGAATATTCATCCTCATACCCCACTTCCCGTAAAGACTCCATCCCATTCTCTCAGTTCTCCGTCTCTGTCGTATATGTTCAGATGAAGCCAACTTCAACGAGGGACCCTCCGAAATGTCCACCTTCTGTCTCAACCGAAGATTCCCCAGCTCCGTTGTCGACAGGGCCCTCAATCAGGTCTGACCCCTCTCCCGCACTTCCGCCCTCACCCCTTCTCTTCCCTCCCACAACAGCGATAGGGTTCCTCCTTATCCTGACCTACCATCCCAACAGCATCCACATCCAGAAGATCATCAGACATCATTTCCGCCACCTCCAGCCAGATGCCACCACCAGACACATATTCCTTGTCTGCCTTCTGCAGGGACCGTTCCATCCGGGACACCCTGGTCTACACTTCCTTCACCTCCAACACCTCTCCACAGCTCTACGGCACCTTCCCCTGTAACTGTAACATTTACCTCCTCCCTCCCCAATATCCAAGGGCCCAAACATATCTTCCAGGTGAAGCAATACTTCACCTGCACTTCCCAGAATCTAGTCTACTGTATTCGTTGCTCACAATGTGGTCTCCTCTACACTGGGGAAACGAAACATAGACTGGGTGACCGCTTTGCAGAACATCTATGTTCTGCTCGCAAAAAAGACCCTGAACTACCTGTTGCCTGCCACTTTAACGCACCACCCTGTTCCCTGGCCAACATCTCTGTCTCTGGCTTCCTGCAGTGTTCCAGCGAAGCCCAACGCCAGCTGGATGAACAACACCTCATTTTCCACTTGGGGACCCTGCTGCCCTCCAGACTCAATATCAAGTTCAATAATTTTAGTGCTTAAACTCTCCCATGTCCTAGCCCCTTGCCCCACACACCGGGCCTTGTTACCACATTGCCTGCCATTACACCATCTGTTGTTAGTCACTAATAGTCCCCATTACAACTATTCACCCTCCCAGCCTGATCATTATCTACTCCTTTGTCCAACTGCTTGTTTCTCTCTTGGGGTCTATCCTATCGTTTACTCCCCATCCCACCCTCCTCCCTATTTTCTGCATTTAAACCGATGTTTTCCTAGCTACCATCAGTTCTGAGGAAGGGTCACTGGACCCAAAACATTAACTCTGATTTTTCTTCACAGATGCTGCCAGATCTGCTGAGCTTTTCCAGCAACTTTCTTTTTGTTCCTGCAACCAGTTTGAACTGGCCTCAGGTGCCAAGGTCGATAGGGGCAAGAGTGAGCCCATGTTCTTTGGGAACTGGGCTGACTGATCCTTTATTCCCTTCACTTTCAGGACAGATTACCTGAAGGTGCTGGGAATATTGTTCAGAGGGACCGGGGCGTGCACAAAAACTTGGCAGTGTGTCGCAAAGGTGAGTGTGCCTCTCCTCCTCCATTGCAGGTAAAAACCTGGTCATCAGGTGGGAGGCACTCTCTCTGTGGTTGTACGTGGTGCTGGTCTGGCCTATTCCCCAAACCTACGCAGTCATCCAAGCCATCTTCCACTTCATGTGGAGGTCTAAGATGGATTGTGTGCATGGGTACTCCACATACAAAACTCTGGATAAGGTGCGTGAATGTACCCAACGCTGCCCTCATCCTGAAGACCCCTATGTGTGTGGCTGCATCAAACTGTGTGTAGACCCTCGGTTCGCAAACACCAAGTGTCACTACGTACTGAGGTTCTACCTGTCCTCTGTGTTGTGAAGGATGAGACTGGCCTCGCTGCCGTGGAATGCGCCAAGTAGTTGGACTGTTCTGTATCACCTGTCCTTCGTGGAGAAATTTGCACAGAAAAACACCTTTAACCACAGGTCCATCAAGAAGTGGTCAGCACACAGTGTGCTCGAGACCCTGTGGGAAAAGGAGAGGGTGGATCCTGTCGTGTGGTTCCCTGAGCAGACTGTCAAAGTCATTTGGCAGAATACCTCATCACCAGAACTTTCCAACAAGCACCAAGACATTACTTGGCTGGTGATGAGAAGGGCTCTGCCTGTGAGATCTTTCATGTACACCTGGTTGGTCTGAGCCACTGCACACTGCCCTCAAAGCAGTTGGGTAGAGACTGTCACACATTTCCTTCTGGAATGTGCCTTTGCAAAGGAATTCTGCAGAAAGAAGCAGTGATTTTTGTCGCGTTTCGTCCCGAGTTGCAGGACTCCCAATTCATTGACTATACTCACTTTCAGGTCATCAATGACATCGATAATTGGTTACAGAATTATGCCTGTCACAGAACAGGAAGATCATTGGTTACAGAATTGTAGTTGTCGTTGCACAAGACGAAGGCTGTTTAATTCATCATCCGGCTAATGAGCTTCTGATCCTACCTGCCCAATTGATGATGATCGAATTTGAATGAAACCTAATATTAGAATTTTTATGGAAAACCGGGCAGATCACGGCACCGCGGCATCTCGCAAAGTAGGCGAGTCACCTGCAGGGCGACCTTTACCCGCTCAAAAATTCCTCTCGCACAATGTGGCGAGGACCCGGGCGTCACCCCGGACCGTTATTTTCCTTACTCATTAGTTTAAGGCATAAAGTTGCACCGCCAATGATGCCAACACAGTCACCATCAGTACTCTTTACTATCAGGGTGACTGCACCAGCACCCGGCCCCGAGTGGAGCAACCTGCCTGGGAAAGATATTTCCTTCTCTGCGAAACCGGAGAAATAACCCGAAAACTATGAGAAAATTAACGCACTGTGGGGGAAAAATCTATTATGCAAAATAGGACTAGCTGAGACATTATGGGGGCGGTTCCCTGGCACCACGAAGATTGTGGGAGTTGTAGTCGCTGGGTGTTGTAGTCTTCCAATTTGGAACAGCAGATTCGCAGGCGGAAAGGAAAGAGGCAATTTGTGGAAGGAAGTGCCGGTGTTTCAAATACAGAATTTTATTTGTTTTTTTTGGCATGGCCCACCAAACAACCTGAATGGATTTAATTTGTCTGACATTTGGTTTGCAGGAGAAATGGCTTCTGAATGAAGAGTGAACCCTTCGATGTAAAAAAAGCTCAATTGAATTGACTTTAACATACGGTCTCTGTTAAAACCCAAGTGAATTTCACCAGCAGTCTGTATGTTCGTTAAAATCCTGGTGAGTTTCGCCACCAGTGTGTGTGTTTGGTGAAATCCTCGTGAATTTCATCAGCAGTCTGTGTGTTTGTTGAAATCATGGCGAGTTTCACTAGAATTCTGTGTTTGT